GAGAGTCTTGCCTTATCAAGGTCAATGTCCTGAATAACCTCTAGAATGTTTTAATCGATAATCATTATTTATTAAAAAGTTATTATCAAATTGAATTATGATTATCAAATTAAATATTGATTATAGAATTTGTTTACTATCCTTCCTGTATTCTTTACTAAAAATGCTTTCAAAAATAACTTTTATTTTGAGGGACCATAGTTATCGTAATTATTGTCAGTTTATATATAATATCCCAGGTAGCAAAGTTTGTCATTTTGACGTCATATTTTGGGTCTTTACTGATCATTACTGACGTCTTAATGAAGTCAAATTGACGTTCGAATATTACAAACGATTGACGTCATCGGTGAGCCGTCATTTTGACGTTATATCTTGGTCCTTTATTGACCATTATACTACAACAGGCGACTTATGACGTTAATATGACGTCACGAAATAACGTTACGAAAATGACATCAGTATACCGTCACGAAATGACATTATACTGACGTCACGAAATGACGTCGAATAAAACTTATGGTCATTTTTTGGTCACTTGACGTCATTTGTACCAACATGACTTGAATTTGACGTCAAAACGACGAACTTTGCTACCTGGGATATAGTCGATTGATGAAAAATAAAAGTATACTTCGCTAATTATTTAATTTTCATACGTACTTCGCATTGCGATCGAAGCGTCGCTGAATATCCGTTTCGTGAACGTTCCGGGGTACGCAGATGTCATCCAACAACATATCGGTAAGATTGATGATCTCGTGTCGACGTATCGCCAGGTTTGTCACTTTGCAGCTAACGCCAAGTACTGACAGGAATAGCGAGAATTTCTCGATGAACGTCTTAAGATCCTTGCTTATAAAACAGTCGACTAAACCGCAAAATGTGAATAAATGAAGTAAAAAATTCATGGCAACGGAATAAACGGTATACGCCCAATATTTGATGGATGTCAAGTTAATAGGTCGCCAGTATCCGGTGAATGTCAATAGTGCGAATGACAGCGGAAGAGTGTGCATCGTTCTCGGTAAAACTTTTAAAGAAAGGTCTCGAAGATCTTAGGCGACGTCTCGATAAAAAATATTTCTTGCAAGACAACGTTCTGGAGATGCTATATTATATTGCAGGTTTCATTGTCTCGCGTCTGCATTTCATACCGTATCGCTTTCTTTATTCTCTCTCATCTAGGAACTTTGACTTCCGCTGTAGATAATTCATGCATAAATAAGTTTTGCTAATTATGTTATGAAACATAACATGCAATTCTACAAAGTCGTACTATCCGTACGCTATTAGATGCATACCACAGTTATTACGATAAGTTCTGCCTTATTTAAAAATGAACGTTGGTATAAATTTTGCTACGTTCGCTACCTCCGCCATCGTTGCAATCGATATATATAAGTCTTAGACTCTCAGCGCTATCACACAATACTTCTTTGTGCTCTACATATTTTAATTACTTCTCAAACTTCTAGTTCGTCATCTCTTTTTGCATTTTTAATAAATTTAAATTTCCAAGAATTAATTATACCTTGAAAATCGCAGTAATGTAACAATCGTCAATTGAATTATGAGTAATTATTATTGCATATAAAGAAAAAAAAGTGAAGTCTACAGAATAATATAACGGCGACCTCTCAGTTATTATGAAGTAAGTTACCTCTCGGTTATTATGAAATAAAGTAAGTTGCGCTCGATTGTCCATTAATATATAATGAATACAGCAAGATAAAGTATATAGAGAAAAAGGCTTCTTTGAATTCAGTATTCCTATTTCTTTAACTAAAATTTGTTTTATTGAAACAAACATGCTTGTAGGAAACATTATTTGTGTGAGTAAAAATTCTGTTGTTTCATTCAAGAAATCTCTACTTATTCCAACAAAGTAATGACAACTTTAATTCTCTGTCAAAAATTGTTACTTCTCAAAAAAAACTATTGTACTAAATTAAAAATTAAAATCCAAATGATACAGTCTTAACTAATCAAGATATATATTATACTAAAAATAAAACCTAAGTGATACTATCTTTGTTACCTAATGATATCTTATTTGTATAAAAGATTTAATATTATAACAACTGGCGCCAAGTTAAATTCCATATTTTATGTATCATTCGTACAAAAGATTACTTTTAAAAAAGGTTAAAAAAGGCTCTAAGAATATACATGCTTCTTGAATAGAACCTAAGTGATACGTTACGTATCCTTTTATTATTCTAACTCAAGTAGCACAGAAGTTTTAATTCTTCAGAAATATTTTTATTGAAGGTCTTCTTATTACAATGCAAGTAATGGCAGCTTTAATTCTTTTGTAATTACTTAACTTTTACGCGCAAACGTAGCTCGTCGGAAATTTCGGTTCGGAGTGTAGTAAGTGGTTCAGGCTGGAAAAGTAAGATGCAATCGAATAAATGCGAAACGGATGTAATAAGACAATGTGATTTATTTGAAAGATATTGTATTGTATATAGCCCAGTCAATTTAGCATCGTACCCCAACAATTTTGAAAAGATTCGCGATTTTCTAATATGTTGTAGAGTTCGGGACTCTAATGAAATCCAAATGCGATCTCGAGACAGGAACCAATACGCCGCCATCTTGAAAAAAAGGTGATAAAAATACGGTTTTTTTTTAAATAACTCCTTTCCCGTCACTTCTACAGTCAAACTAGGTCCTATGAAAGTTGTAGAGGAGAAAATTTCCTACAACTTTTGTCTAATACATTTTTTTGTACGACAAAAAGATTATGAGTTATTATAGTACAAAGTTGAGAAAATATAGAAAAAAGCGGTTAAAATACTTTTTTTTTAATTACTCCTTTCCCATAACGCCTATGCATTGGCATAGGCGCAAACTGTGTTCACTAATTTCAAATGTGCAAAAACCGAACAACCTGAATAAAAAGCTTGGAGGTCGCTACGACAGTATTAGCATGTTTCTCACGTTCCGCCTTACATTCATTCAAGGGATGATTCTCCCCACATCTGGGACAAGTGTCTCTTCCTCTGCAATTATTCGATGAATGATTCCAACGACAACATTTAATACATTTCCTTATTCTATTTACATAGAGGTAAACTCACGTTTTTACTCTCCAGATGTATATGAACTTGGGTAATAAACTGGAGTTAAAAGTTATTTTCACCGAATTTAAGTCCTCTAGTGTATTAGAATCACGTGACATAAACTTCAATCTCTCAACGTTAATCATTTCAAAAGGTTTACCTAGCCACGTGATTCCCTCTTTAATGTCTTCCACAGTCAAAGATGGATCAACCCCCCTCACAACTCCTGTTCTCAAAATTCTGAAGTTGGGAATATAACTCAACCAATTGTCAGGCAATTCTTTGTTATTATTTACGAATTCGTTAGCTCCCTGGAAGGTGTCAAAACTAATACCAATTTTATTAACTCCTATCTTCTTAATTCTTGTAATTTTGTGAAAATTTATCAAGGAGCAAATTTTCTTTCCGATCGACATAGGATGTAAGTTACTAATAGATTGATCAATAAATTCTATAATATATGAACTAAGAATAGGGCTGATGATTTCCCTGTGTATCTATTTCTTAATTGGGACCTAATATAGCTTTCTCTAAAATCAGGATTCTCCGATCTTTCATGAGAGCTCTTATCTCCTAATCTTAGTGGAGAAACCTCATTTACCTTAAACATAGTAAAAAGTATTTAATTCATTAAGTATTACTTACTATATTTAAGATAAATGAACTATACCAGTAAAAACTTTGTGCTGTCTATTACTATGAAGCAAATAGTAATATCGTATGAAAAAAATATTTAAAAAATATTAAAAATCCAAAATACTTATTTATGGCTACTCATGGGATGTACTACTCATGAAAAATTTATAAATAATACTTAGAAATAAAAAACGTAAAATGACACAATAACTTATAAAATGTATTTACAAAGTTTTATTAAAGAATAAGAATGATAAATATATATACATATATATGAGGTAATTATAATCTTTTACATATATTACAAGTGTTATAATATGAGGTACATGTATTGCGCACTTTATATACTTTGGACATAAGTCTCGCTAAAAATGCCGTACATCTCCCCCTCCTCCCAAACAGGTGGAATATACAAGACATCAAGCTGAACAAAAAATATAAGAGCTGAGCACTTGTGTTTTGCTATATTCCATTCTTTACCTTTACACTTTATTACAACTTTTATGTATCATCAAATAAGCAATGAGTCTTTTACAATCTCTATATAGTAATCATTTTATGTGGGTTATGATATATGATTGCGCTACTCACTACATTGATAAATCGATTCAATTGACAGCAATTTTATTAATATTAACAGAAGAAAACTGAAATCATAACACAATAATAATGTAACATAAAAACACGATACTGATATAACGGAATGGTTGCTTGCAAATTATCCTCACTCCTTCTAACTTTTAACTTTTTTCTAACTTCTGCGGCGTAAATCTAAGCGTGGCGCAAATATCTGAAGACTGCCGTACCTCCTTTACGCGAGCCGGCGAGTTGTGCCAGATCGAGTCGGAGTTATAAAAATTTGGTATTTCGTGAAGTGATATATAATAGGGAGTTTTTGCAATAACGTGAATTCAGATACGGTGAACGCTAAAGTCATGTTATCCTTTTCTTAATTAGTTGTTACGAAGAAGATAACTTAACCTTAGCGTTCACAGTATGAAACGTTAACTGGATAAACGGTATTGCAAAAACTCCCTAATGATGACGCAGTCGAACACATTTTAACTGTATACGTTTGTGTCGACTTGTATTACAGTTGGAAAGCACGGAATCGTACACAGTGTTACACAGTGGCGCCTGTGTACGTTGCCGAAAAGCAGCAAAAGTAGCTCATATGTAAGCCAATGCATTTTATATAAAATATATCTCAAATGGAAAACAGTATTAAAGTCTACATTTAATATATATATCTCCCATTTTTGTAAAACGCTATAGCGAAAAAACATAGGTAAAACTGTCGAGATTGTTTCAGATATATTTATAAACAGGGTTGCCACAAATTTTTCGTCCCAAAATTTCCTGACATTTCCCTGATTTCCAGACAAAACTTTTTTATTTTTTCTGACTTTCAATAATACATATTTTGAAATTTTTTTATATTCCAATAAATACTGCCAGTATTGAAAATCTATAGTGTATGTAACGTACACTATAGAATTTCAGTACTTGCAGTGCATAACGGAACACAGCTTTAGTAAAAACATTTTTAATCTCTACTAAGTTTACGCGTTAGCTTCTTACATAAAAACTAAAATTTCAAATTCTTAAAGAAAACTTAAATACTCCAAGTTAACATAAAAAATTGCACAAGGCTCTTAATGGAATGTTAATGATGCCAATGACGTTATTTCTTCATCAAGAGCACTTAGTTCATTAGTTTTCTCTGTCAACAGTTTTGCCTTCTTAGCCTTCAATTTTGAAATTTTTTGAAACAAGGATCTTTTTTAAGCAATCTTTACATTTTCTTGTTCTTTTTCAGAGCGCTGCTTTTCCAATGCTTTACCATACATATCCCTCGCATTTCGGTAAGATAAAATCATCTTTTTATCTATTATAAGTTTAGTGAGACTATCAGCAGCCTTAAGGCCATCATAAACTTGTCTTTGAGATATTAGACCTAGGTAATTGATTTTCAACAATACATTCCTTGTTTATTGAAAATCCTTTTTCCACAAATGCTTGACCATGACTCAAAATAAGGATCTTTTTCACAAAGACATAAAAATTCTGGAAATTATCTTAACCTTCAAGCAAGTCTCTCCAGAAATGATCAATTCTTTGATTTTCCCTAACGAACTGCTTGCATAAATCAATTACTCCTTTCTTATGACAAAGAACGTTAAATTCTTTCTCAATTTTATCACACATCTGACTAGTAAATCAGTTTCTTGCGGAAAACAATTGTAAAGCATTAGAAAACCTATCAAGTCAGTAGTAACGCAAGCCGTGAGAGCACATGAGGACGCGTAACT